TTCACGAGAAGATGAGACTCTTCAAAACCAACTATTCAAATGAACACGGATAATATTAACCTATATTATTCAGTGTCTGGCATATATATATATATATATATATATATATATATATATAACCTTATTACTGTAAACAATATTTTTTGTAGGTACACGTATTTGAATTGACATCTCTGTTTTTTTTATTTTCTAAAACATTGAATTAATATTGAGACCGAAAAGTCTTAGGAAAGAAAAAGTGTGCCTCCTGAGAGGAATTGAAATTGCATTCCCTTTTTCCATCAGGGAAACCATTTCTACAGCCGAATGGTGCCGTTTGCAGTCAGGTCATTGGAGATCGTCACAAGATATGAGGCGCAATTTCCTACGTTAGGAATACACACTTCACACTGGCAACAACTTAATAATAACTTTTATAGTAATAAGAAATAATGTCAGCCTTAAAAATCCATATATATATATATATATATATATATATATATATATATATATATATATATATATATATATCCAAGTATAGGATTAGTGTAGACGGAATAAAATTAGAATATGTATGAAAAAAAAAAAAAGGCAGAAGAAAATCTTATCTTAACCGACGCGTTTCGTCCTCTGAGGGGCTTTATCAAAAACATTTGCCTTGATGAAGTCCCTCAGAGGGTCGAAACGCGTTGACTAAGATAAAGTTTTTGTCTTTTTTTTCACATTGTCCTTCTACGGATATACTCTGTCTGAATATTTTACACACACACACACACACACACACACACACACACACACACACACATATATATATATATATATATATATATATATATATATATATAAACATATGATTGTGTATTTGGGCAGCAATCCCCGTTTTTTATATGCTTTTATTAAAAGACGACTGAGAAGGAAACTGTCCGAATCTCCAGAAAAGAAATTACACGAACCCGAGAAAAATTGAAGAAAAGTTTAATCGCAGTACCTTTTCAGTCGTTTTAATATATATATATATATATATATATATATATATATATATATATATATATATATTCGTTTTTTAACGTTCCGGATAATTTTACAATTCTATCAAAGAATCTCAAATAGCTTTAGCAGCGCAGTTCCAGTGACTAAGAATTATTCTTCAAGAACCGGCATAAAATCTGTTTTCTTTCCAAATCTGTCCTCTTGTCATCAGCCACTTTGACTTTTGAACTCAAATATTCAGCTCACAAATAATAATAATAATAATAATAATAATAATAATAATAATGATGATGAACAATTGTGACAGACAAGTGCATAAACATACACGCACTAGTCGTATTAGTTGCTGACACATACATTTTGGCAAGAAGCTTGCATTATAAAGTGCGTCCCACTTCCGGTTCAAGTATACATTATTTTAACATAAGTCGGATGCGCGTCTTTTACGCGAGGATATGTGAACGAGAGGACAAAACATTGAGAATTCACTGAAAAATCCCCATGCGTATGGAAAGAAAAAAGTATAATTGTGAGAGAATAAAAAATCGTAATCAAATTAACAGTACAGATATATTTCTAACATTTAAAGATAAATTACTACGTCATCACTTGTATAAATTAAGAACACAGATGCACATGAATTTGCTTGAGACTGTTTAATGTTGGGATCGAACTCATTCGTATTGATACCAAGCAGGCAAGTGGATTTGATTTTCACTGAATAATTTTGACCTTGTGCCTGGCCAAGTTTAATTAATAATCAAGATGAAAATAGATGTGAAAAGAAATGGTAACAATTTTACTGACACTTCTGTGCTGGGAAAAGTCGAAAATTTGCAACGTACACTTCTGACAAAACATACAGCATTTGGAAGAAATTTGGTTTTCAGGTTTGTACTGCAGCGTACGAGCTTTTCTAATTTCGTTCTCGACTTAAAGAAACAAAATTCCTGATTTGTTCAAATGATTTATTTATTGTATTTTTAATTTTTTTTTCCAACCTGATTGATGCATCTTTGGAGAATAATAATAAAAAAAGCCAGAGAAGAGGTAATGACAATAATGATTAAAAAAGGACGATCAACTTTAAGAATTATATTTCTGTATAAAAAACAATTGATTTAAAACTTCTTATATTTTTAAACACTGAATTTAAATGCTTTCTTTGATCTGTCTATTCATGTTATATATAGAATTCTCTGCACGCTGATTTCTCTCAAAATTTCGACAATTTCTCTGTTGCTGTTTGTTTCAACCAATTAAAACGATAATGGACAAACACAGACTCGCATGATTCCAGTTCTTCAATTTCCAAAAGAAAACATACAAGTTTTTGTTCTTTTGCTCTTGTCACCATTCCACCTTCTATTGAGGCCTGTCTTTGATTTTATTGATGGTTCTGATACCATTTTGAGCCTCTTTTAGTTTTAAAAGCTTTCCAATATTTATTTTGTGTTTAATGAATTGAGTGTGCAGAAAATAGTATTTTAACACAGAGCAAATTTTTAGCGAGCTAGTCGATCCTCATTAGGAACATCTAATTTGGGTATTGAACCGCGTACAAAACTATGTTAATCTTGTTGATGAAATATATATCAGTTTCCCACCGGTGTTAAAGTATCTAATATTTTTCATTGACTTTACTTCCTGTCGTATGGATGCAATTAGCAGCTTCCATTTTTTTTTCATAAAAATACGCCATTGTTGTACATAAACTTTTTATTGATGTCAATCTTATTTAATTAAATATGAACTAATAAAAATTCTCACGATTTTATACTTTATTTACGAAGGAACATTGAATTCGTTCTTTAATGGTGGATTCAGTAACCAGATTATAAGAGGGAGTTTTAGATTCATGCCTTTCTGGAGAGCAAGAAGTACAAAATAGACTGTGAAATAAATTTAAATGTTTTTTTAATAGGCGCTAAAGGCGCCATCTTAATTCTAGACAGCTTTTCATGACTAAGAATAATATTAATGTCGATGGGTACATATTTACGTAGAGTTATTCCACGCTTTCAATTTATTTATCTACAAAGCTCTTTTAAGGAAATTTAAAATAGAGACGCTATAAATCTGAAAATATAGAATAAATTCAACTACTTTCTAGCTTATTACTTATTTTATAACAACAACAGCAACAACAACAACAATAATAATAATACAGTGTAACCCGGATATAAGAGACCCGGATATAAGAGAAACCCGGATATAAGAGAGATTTTATCTGGTCCCAAATTAGAGCCTGTGTTAATGTATATAAATTAGACCAAACCCGGATATAAGAGACTTCTTCTCCGGTCCCGACAACTCTCTTATATCCGGGTTACACTGTAATAATAATAATATATAGCAATGGCACAATAATTATTTTTAAACAATTTTCTCTGAGGTATCACACACTTACTACAGGCCCTTTTCTATTTTTATTTTCAAAATAGTTGGAACAGTTGTTTTTAGAGATTGCTATCAGCTGCCACATCGGGTTCTCTGTAATCTCGTCCATGGTTCAAATTTTGATCCTTTTCAATGGCGATTATAGCTTTGAGAAAAACAAGTCCTACGGAAACAAATATTTACTGTTTAAAACTGACATTTGTGGGTAATGCGATGTTATGCGATAAAAAAACAAAACAAAACAAACAAACAAACACCCCCCCACAAAAAACAAAACAAAACAAAAAAAACTGGACATCCAGTTCGAATTCCAGTCGGGTTCATTACATTCACTTACGTACAAATACTCTTGGGAAAGGTATGAATCCATCGCTTCGCCCCCAGCCATGAGTTGAATAGCAGGACAGACTGGGTCCCATAGCCTTGGTTGGCAACCAGTTTACTGCAGAAAGAAACGGCAACCAACCGGCGGGAAAATTTTCTGTCTCGTCAGTCATGGGACATGATTACCCAAGAGTGTGTTGCGTATGGCAATTAACTGGCTTGTGTTGAGAATCATATCTTCACTTAGTAACTAGTTGCTAATTAATTAAATTTAATTCATAATTAAACATTAAAATCTTCTTGTAGAAAATCTTTCTGAATAATATTGGGGATGAATTTTATTTTTGATATTGAAAATCTGAAAGTCCAATTAATGTGAGAAAATGTGGATTTGATAGAATCATTTTTTTTTCTTAACCTTTAAACAACTAAAGATTGAAATGAAAATCTGACAATCTTGATTTTAATTAATAACGGTTGGCTGCCGGTAGCGTAACTTTTATCGGCGCCGAAATTAGAACCTGTTCAAATTTTTACTGAGTCTGATACATCTAATTTGGATTAATACCCTTGACAAAGGCATAGGATTAGCCTAGGGCTCTTTAATCATGGTTTGCAGCAAGTTTGCCATTCCGAATTAAAAAAACAAACAAAAAAAAAAAAGAAAAAAAAAACTGTGGAGAAGATAACGCAAACTTATCCACTATCGTTCCTAAGAAATCATGGCAATTTACAGCTGTTAAAGAAGGGAAGATTGGGAGAGCCGTTATCGGTTACTCTCTGAAGGGACACGGGATTTAAAAATAAGAACTTA